TGAAACGCAGAGTATGGCAGGTCCTTTGTGGCGACTTTATCGCGTACACGGCGCGTGCAAATGACGTCACTACGCGGCGATGGAACGAACAAAAAGGCGCACAATGAGTTCAGCTAGCGTAATATCAGCCCAAACGATGGAAACATATAAAGTTCCTAGAGCTACCATTGCTGAACCGCCGTTCAGTAGTGGAGCAAAGTAGCTGCAATCTAGGCCATTGTCAGCTTCACCGCCACACCGCGTCGCTCTGACGTTACCAGCATGGGCCACGTACGCACACATTGAGCTTGTCTGGGGAACTTTCCTGCCCGGTTCAGCATTGGAAACGTGATCCTTTGTGTTTGCAGTATGGCCTAAAGTCAAAGCCGGCCTTATGGGGCGAAATAGCCTATTTTTGAGTAACGCAGAGGGGTTTCGTAACCCATGCCTCAGATCGCCTTACTAGGGAATGTTTCGAACTTCCCATGTAACTTTGAAAGGAGACCTAGGTGCATCAATAGTCTTCGACGCATCATTGCAAATAGGAAACTAAAAGGCTACGTGATTTTGTAAGAAGTTGTGATCTTTAAAATTGAACAAAAAATGGCTAGTGGATGAGGTACAACCTACATGGAAACACAGTTGCTTTTGCCCGGATTTTGTTCTATAAGGGTAAATGGGTACCGATCACGAACATGGGACTCTTTTTGGCGCAGAGCCCCCATGGCGATTGTTATTCCACCAGGTAAGCTCGCTCAGTAACAATTTTTCCAACTTTGAAGGCTTATAACTTTCTTAGGAAGTTCACGTAGCAGTTTTAGTGTCCATATTTGTAATCAGCGTTCAAGACTCTATGATATCTAGGTCTCCTTCCAAAGTTTCCATGGGAAGTTCAAAGCATTTCCTTGTTAGATCGAATTATTGCACTTTCAAAGGCTTCGATGAAATGGTTGATGGTGATGTGACACATAGGAGCGTGAGATCAGTTCGGATGAGGCGTGCTACAGCTTGGAATGAGATTCCTTTTTACCCAGTTTTCGACTTCGTTAGCAACTCTGCAGCTGTAGCACGCCATGCACCCGCGGGGTTATTTTGTGCGATCAAACAAAGCGTTCCGAAAATGTCATCACAGTTCTCCGAAGGCCCGACGGTTTCGAAGAATGCGCGACACACTGCAATATGATTACAATACACATTCGATATACGGTATCTGAAAAATTGATTATTTTCTTGAAATCAGATAAACAACAGTGAACGGATAGTGGTGAACCGAGAAAAAGGAGAGCAAAACTGAGAATATAGCGTGGGCGGCCTATTGGAAACTCTGACTTCCGAAATCGATTTTTTGTGACGTCGATTGATCCGTTCTTCCAGAGAAATCAGTAATATAAGTAATATGTCGTAGCAGTTGATCTTCTTTTCGCAAGGGGGCCATTGGGAGGCAGCGCTAACCATGGCACAATAGTCCAAAGAACTCGTTTATCTGTTCGAATATCCCCTCCTGCATGTCTCAAAGCCTTTCCTTGAATCTTTGCTATAATCCCAGGTAGGCGAATATTAAGAACAGGGTGACGAAGGGGTTGCCCATAGGGTCAATCGCAGCGGAGGGCGAGTTTTGAGGGACAATACGACCTCCCACTACAGAATGTTTTCACATGAACCTCCTCCGGCTCCTTTCTTGGATAACTCCACGTCATCGACAAATCGCCTCTTGGTTTAGGAGGGGAGGGAGAGGAAGAAACGACAAAAATATTTACTAAATTGGTTAAAAATCACGCAATCTGAGGGAAATCCTTTTCCATGCTTCAGAACGCACAATGCCAATTTCACCAATCGTTCCACCTCCCCTATCCACCCTCTCGAAATATGACCCCACAGAGGGATAGAGCCCTGTAGATGGACGACCCTACCTGCAATCAGGTGGTGGCCGAAGTTGTCCAATTGACGTCTTCAAGGGACCTGTTGCCGAATGGTTCCCTCAGGACGACAGACAAACGAACATCACGGTGGTATCATTTTCAAACTATAAGACCCCGTCCTTGCGAATGGCCCCGGTTGCTCGTCGAGCATCAGAGGCAGCTTGCGAAGGTGGCCAAAACATGCGAGGTGTGGTAAGCAGGGTGAAAAGCCTAAGTGCATATCCATTGGTGTGCGGGGTTTTGCTCGAAGGGTGAAGTCTAGGCAAAAGTTAAGACGGGGCCCTGCAGCAAACAGGACCGAGAGCAGAATTTAGCCGTTGTTTTGAAAGAGGTTACCTAGAAACAAGCCCATGGGTCATTGTCCACTGCTTTTTGACCCTAAAAGACCATAAAATATGGAATAATTATAATGTACCTTCAGTTTGTGTAGAGCAATCAACAAGACCAGGTGCCGGTTTAGTGACGGCTGGCACATGCACAGAAGCAGTTCGCGTAATTCCTGCCCCGGCTGCGCCACCCGCCAAACTCGACGACTTTGTGGAGCTCCTGGAATAAAGCAGTGGGTACTCTGGAAGGCACTGCGAGTAATAGACAGGATATCACAAAAGAACAACGACCAATCACAGATAGTGAAGACCTGGAGAGCTCCGCGTTCTTCCCGATCACTGACCTCACTGAACCAGATTGCAACGACGCCCTTGTAGTTTTACTGGACAAATGCTTGCTATCGAAAGCTCCTTGAGAATTACCAAAGTGACAGCTGAAAAGCGCGTTGTGGTGGAGCTGTACGAGTCGTGCAGATGTAGTGTCAGACTTACCGTATCAACTTAGTGGTGGTATAAGAAGCTCTGACATTCTTTTCAGGATGCAGAATAATGATATAGAGTTTGGGAAAGAACAACAACAGCAGAGGTATTGAGGCGGAGAGTGAGAAGGAAAAACTCATCGTCAACGCCTTGTTCACCGTGCCCATGTGCAGCACGACGAACGCGATCCAGACGACAAGGGTGCAATACCTGGAAAGCAAGGAGGTCGTATGAGTTCTCTACTGAGATCAGAGCAGGGTCAATAAAAGTCAATTCGTGGCAATAAGTACCAACAGGGGAGCGTATTCGCGATTTTTGGGAGGCGGGGTCGTGATTTCAGTATAAGGCCGATGTCAGACTTGATGCGAATCGCGCGATTCGCTGCTAGCGATTCGCGGCGATTCGCTAGACGTTCCGCGGTCGCGTTGCGGTACCAGCCAATGGCAAATGAGTGATTCACTGGCCGCGACGCGACCGCAGACGCTAGCGAATCGCGCGATTCGCAAAGTCTGACATCGGAGCCTATAAAGGTGAGAGGGGGTCATTTTTGACGAGTATTTTTTTATCTTCTTTCAAAACTTCAAAGAGTGCGTGACGCAAAGAAAATGAGAGCATACACCCGTTCTTCCGGCAAATTTATCCCTCCCCCCCTCAACGCCACCCCTTCCGCTCGACGAATGGTTGGAGGTCTACAGTGGGCGGGGTTGGAGCGTGTCGCGTGTCGATCAGAGTCAAACACTAGTATAGAATATCCATGATGGGAAGATTCTTGTAGGGAGTCGGTGGGGGGCGGCACTCTTGACAAGTCCGATTGTTGTATAATCTAGGAGGGAGTCAGAATTTTTAAAGCGCCACAGCGGTTTGACCTTGATCAGAGTAAGGGAGGGGCTATTAACGTGAGAATGTGAAAAGAATACTGCAGCCCGGATATGAAACCGGAGTCCAACGGCTGAGGGCCTAAGATTTATGAGCTGCAAATAGACAATTCGCCAGCTTTGATGACTAATTTGTGCGCGAATGGAATAAGAAATCCATTTTGCGAAACCCTGGTCGAACCTAGTTCTAGTAATCGTTTAAAAAGTCAAGTTATTAACTCCAGTTCTTCGCTTTCACCCTTGGACAAGCAATCAGTGATGCAAGCTAGTCAACAATGACGCTATAGTCAAGAAACCGCGACGCGACCGCGCGCGTCTTAGGTCGGTTCCTACGGATTCCAAAGTATGTAAGACTTACATAGTGAATCCTATAAATTTTGCTTCGTTGAAGTTTTCAGGTAGATTTCGAGTTTTTACAGCATATAATGTACACAATGAGATCAATAGGAGATTCCACATGAAAGGCGTTAGAAATGATCCAGACGACGTCGAACAGACAAGAACCAGTCTGAAACACGGGTTCTGTCATCATCGAGGTAACTGTGACTGAAATTAGTGATTACGTAAAGCAACAGTCCACGCAGGGTGGGCGTGGTTGGAGACGACGGCAATCCCCTCGGCCGATTACGACTTAGCTTACTTTAGCTCCCTTCCTAGCGGTTTCCCAAGTTGTGTTTTTGTTCACTAACACTTCTTATGTTCATGGCTGGGGCTGTATAGCTCCAAAAAGGAAATCGGCCGAGGGGATTGCCGTCGTCTCCAACCACGCCCACCCTGCCTGGACTGTTGCTTTAATATTATTGGCGTGGGGTTTCAGGCATGGCCTTGGAATGAACTCTGTTTCTGGCGACACGACGTCGTAATTGCAGACTCAGTCACACACGTGACATCAGATAGCATCTAGAGCACTAAAGAATTCACATCATATATCAATTTTATTTGAGGCCATCTTGCCACGTTTTGTGGCTGAGTCCAATACAAGATGATCCCAGCGGAACACACAGTGTATTCCGTTACGACACCTCAATGACATGAGGTTCAACTCGATTTCCGGAATGCCTCCTCCGCCCACGTGATTATTCTTAACTCTACGTTTAAAAAGGATACACCAGCCCCTGAAATTGGCTCGTTGCACATTCTGCACCCCGCTGGAGCGTGCTGTTGCGTAGCGGTCGGTAGCTCATGTCTGTCAAGGAAAACGTAGCTCTTTCAAGTGAAAGTGAAACTGAAAAGGATAGGCCAAGCATTTCCAACAACTACACAATCAACAGCATGCATGAGGTCGAAAAAGATGTAACCGCTACGCATCCGCGCGCGTCGGAGGTCTACGTTGCTCAGAAATCGGCTCATTCGAAATGTAAGCTGGTGTTCGCACACTATGAAATTCTGAAGCATCTCAACCCTCGATGTGGCGGTTTTCGAGACCGCTGGGAGTCCTAGTCCAGATTCTTCTACAGTTTTACTTCAGAAAACAAAGACAATATTATTTCTTGAGAAAAAAAGTAAGAAATACCGGGATGGCAGGTAATGCGGCGAGAAGCCGGCAGACGGCCATTCCTGCAGCACTCCAACGGCCACTATCACACATTGAATACCGACGAGGATCCACGTGATAACGACCTTGAAAGTAGTGGTTAGAAAAGGTTGCTCCAGGCCATTTGTAGCCTAAAATGACCAGTGCCAACAGAAAAGCATACCTGTGAGAAAGTGCTGAGGAAGCGCGGCTTCTTCGTGAGAATCGTTTCTTACTCCCGGCCAGAATCCTCGCTATTCGATTCGTTTTCGTTAGTAAAGCAGAATAAACTATGGAGAAGGCAATTGGGGGGATAATTCTGAAAGCGATCGATAATTCGGCGCTCGGCGATGGTCAAGGGATATCGAGCGAAGCGTCAGCAAACCTGGTCAAAAAGCAGGACACTGAGGATGGCTTGGCCAAAATCGAAAAAGTCACAGCGTAACACGTCATAATTCCTGAAACAGCCAGCAATTTATAGCTGGATAATTATTGATTTTATTGATTTTCCACGGACCTGAGAGTATAATATAGCTAAGTTCTCTAGTTGTACTCTTCACCACCGGAGTGCTGTTGTGCCGAAGGAAGATGATCGTCGTCAGGCTGGTGGTGATTATTCCGACGGTGGCCAGAATCAGGGCCAGAACGGAGCCGAACGACGACCACGAGATGGTCTCGTGAGGTAGCGCGTGGCAGCCTGAAAATCGCTCATGTCGGACAGGGTTACGTGGCCAGGCACTTCATGGTCAAGAAAGCAAGGAGGAATGGCTTAAACGTACTGCTTCTGGTGGCATCCGGCCAGTAGCCAATGCTGCAGTTCTGGCACTGATTCGTCGTGTAGTTGACGATCTGATGGTCCATACAGTTCTCGCAAATCCAACAGCATGCGATCGTTTCCCGTTGCTGCAATGGAGAAATGTATCGTCAGGTTCAGCCATCGCCTAGCGCAAGTCCCACCCCATTTTGCTAGAGAAATAGCCTCCAAATGGCAGGGTTCGGGGAATTATTTGCTGGCCAATATCAATTTTAACGATGGAACAAATTTCTGAATCGACCGACACCT